TGTGGCAGTCTGATATATTAGATTAAAGAGTTCAACCATTACATCAATAACATTTTCATCGATGAGTTTTAATAATTCGATGGGCACCTCATCTGGTCCAGTAGCTTTACCCTCTTTTGTGTTTTCGATGGTATAGATGACTTCTCCTCTTAATATTGGTGGTCCGGTATCCTCGGTGATTTCTAATGACACATCTCTTTCATCATTAAATAGTTGTTGAATGTAATTGGTCCATTAACATAATCTCTCCTTCATATCAGTAATAATATCCCCTTTATCATTTTTAAGGATATTCGTTTTTGTACGCTTTCTTCTTGTTCAAGTGCCGTCTCTATCAATGGAGGTTAGCGGTTATGGTGGCAAACGTTTGTCTATCTTCAGCTGCTCTTAAGAGTTCCTCAAATCCAAGTCCTGTCCAGTTTCTGATATTGCGTAACCAGGACAATTTTTTTCTTCCAATTCCTCGCTTTCCTTCTATTTTGCCTTTTATTATCAACTGAGGGATGTAGTATTTCTCGTTGCGCAACAAATGCCCTAAATAACTGGTTTTTCTTCTTTTGACTGTTCTCAATAGTTCTTTTTCTAAATTGAGTCTAGCTAGTACTTCTTCATTTGTTTTTCCAAGGAATTTTTAAAATTCTACGGTACACCCACATTTCAAATGCCTCGATTCTATTCAGGCTCTTTATTTTTAAAGTCCACGTTTCGACTCCGTAGAGAAGAACAGACCAGATAAAACATTTTACAAGTTTTAATCTCAATTTAATATTTATATGTGTATCGCAGAATAGAACGCGCATCTTAAAGAAACTATCCCTAGCTTGAGCAATTCTCGCTTTAATTTCTTGTTCTGGGTCTAGCTTGCAATTAATCCAACAGCCAAGGTATTTGTATTGGTTTACCTGTTCTAAAATATTCCCATTTATTTTTATAGGTAAGGGAATATTCTGTTTTCTTTGGATCACCATTAGTTTTGTTTTTTTTTCGTTGATCTTCATTCCAAACTCTCGACAAGCATCCTTAAGGTGTAAGGTATAACCCTCTGTAAGTTTGTGTCTGTATCAGCCAGTAGGACAGTGTCATCTGCATATCTTATGCTAGATATTGGTTCTCCATTAATTTTTATTCTTGTGGAAAGGTTTTCCAAGGCTTGCTTGAATAGTAGTTCCGAGTAAAGATTGAACAGCATAGGAGATAGTATGCATCCTTGCCTTACTCCTTTATTTATACTAATATTTCTAGATGTATGATCGTCGATCCTAATCTTGGCACTCTGCCTCCAATATAAGTTTTTAATTAATCGGAGATCTTTACTATCCAAGTTGATGCTCTGCAAGGAATTTAACATTTTATTATGGTTTACGCAATCAAATGCCTCTTCAAAGTCTACAAAACATAGAAAGACATCCTTTTGTTGGTCGTAACACTTCTGCAGTAGTACTTGTAATGAAAACAAGGCCTCTCTGGTCCCCATTCCGGCTCTGAATCCAAATTGATCGTATCTAACTTCTTTTTCACACCTTTTGTATACCCTATTGTGAAGTATTTTTAATAGAATTTTAAGCACTTGGCTCATAAGACTAATTAATCTAAAATCTGCGCATCGCCTGGAGATAGCTTGTTTTGGAATGGGAATAAAAATAGAATCTAACCATTCCTCTGGTATTTCCCCAGTATCGTAGATTGTATTAAACAAAATTACTAACAAATCAATGTTATTACTTTCGATCAATTTAAGTATTTCAGGATAAACTTCATCAGGTCCAGGGCTTTTGTTGGTCTTTAATTGTTTAATGGCATATTCCACTTCGACTTTTAGAATTGGTGGGCTTTCAGTAACATTATTTATTGTAATGTCTATTCTTTCATCTCGGAACAGCTGTTGTATAAATTTTTCCCATTCTTTTATTTTATCTTTGGTGTTATGAATTAACTCTCCGTTGTTATTTACCAGTGGACAATGTTGTTTTTTGCGGATGAATGAAAATTCTTTCACCTTCTTGTACATATTAAAGTAATCATGTCTATGTTCTAATTCTTCTATTTCTTTACATTTTTCTTCGAGCCATTTCTCTTTTGATTCTTTTATTTTCCTTCGTATTTCTGTATTTAATCGTTTGTAATCGCTTGTGTTCGTATTTTTGTATTTCCTCCTTTCGTCTATCATCTTTAGAATAGCTGGTGTCATCCAGTCTTTTTTTGCCATTAATCGTGTATTTGGAATTTCTTCCCTTGCAGAATTGACGAGGATGGATTTTATTTGTTGCCAAGTTATATTTATATTTTGGATATTTATTTGGGTTCGGTCTATTTCTGAGAGTTGTTCATTTAGTTTTACAGTGGTTTTATCTTTAATCTGTACATCTTTTAGTAGTTCCATATTAGGTTTGTTCTTCGGCTTTGCATTTTTTATTACTTTAATTCTTGTGCGAATATTTGCTACTACAGGGTTGTGGTCGGAATTTGCATCAGCACTAGGATATGTTTTTGTACTTGTAATGGAGTTACGAAATCGTTGGTTGATTAAAACAAAATCTATTTGATTTCTTATTATTCTTTCTTTTGTGTGTAGCGGGGAAGTCCAGGTGTATAACCTACGTTGAGGTAACTTAAACCAAGTGTTTGTTGCTATCATATTGTGTTGCTGGCAAAACTCTAATAGTCTGTCTCCTCTTTCATTTCGTTCTCCTAGTCCGTATTCTCCTACGATATTTTGGAATTTCCCCCTTCCTATTTTAGCATTAAAATCTCCTAGGACGATGTTAATATCTTCTTTCTTTGTCAATTTCATGAGCTTTTGTAGATCTTCATACCATTCTTCTAGTATGTCATCTGGCTTATCTGCGGTTGGTGCATAGACCTGAATAATATTCACATTAAAAGGAGAACTCCTTATTTGCAATAGCATTGCTCTGTCAGAGAGTGGTATAAAGTTTGAAACTGCGTTACTCAATTCATCGTTTATTATTACACCTACTCCATTGAAATGTTTTGGATCATTGTTGCCTGAATAATAGAGTGTTTTGTTTATAATTTTTGTTGTTCCTGAGTTAGGCCATCTAACTTCACTCAGACCTAAAATATCTATATTCAATCTGTTCATTTCTTGGCACACGTTTGCTAGCTTTCCAGCCTCATAAAGGCTTCTGACGTTCCAGGTCGCTACTTTGACGTCATTGTTTGTTTTAGTTTTGTATTTGTTTTTGTTCCTCCCGGGGATTCTTAGCACCCCCTGAACATTTAAGTTCTGCCGGGCACTGGGGGCCATCGATTTAGTTCCATTTACCATCATAACTTTCTTGGGAAAATTAATGAGGTGGTTTCCCATTACCTTCCTCATGTTTTCTGTCGGGGTTTTCTCCCTTATCCGGAGTGTTCCAGTTTTAAGGCGCCGGAAGCTCGCCTTTCGCCCTTTCCCGTTAGCGTTACCCAGGAAGTACCACGTGGAGGTGGGAATCGGACTTGCTAACAGACGTAATGTTTAACTATTCATCCAGGTTTTATTGCCACATACCTTCCGGTAAGACATGTGATCCCAGAGGTCTATCGTTAGCCATTCACTTCCGAGCTTTCTAGAACCCGTCATTTCTTTAATTTTTTTGTGTAAATTAAAGCTATCGTACTTTTTATCCAGATCTTCTATTTCCTTGAATCTGTCGGAGAGTCACCTCTCTTTTGCCTCTCGAATTTTCTTTCTGATGTTTCTCTGAATTTCTTTGCATTTATTCAGGTCTTTTGCTTTATGTTTTCTTCGTTTTTCCATGAGTTCAAGAATTTCTACTGTCATCCAAGGTTTTGTTTTTTCTTCAAGTGGTTTGAGGGTTTCTTTTCCAACTGACACAAGGGCATGTTGAATTTTTCCCCATTTTTGGTCAATAGTTAGAGTTTCTGCATTATCTTCTTTGACTTTCCTTAAGCTCTCGTTTATTTTAAATTTGGTTTCCACATATGTGTTGTCTTGTTTGAGACGTCTTGTATCTTCTTTTATTTTCTAAAGAGTAAAATATTTCCCATAGTTCTCGTTTTAATTGTTTCCTAAGTCTAAAAGAACATTTCAAATTGCACTTACAGTATATATCATTAATCGGGGCTTTGTTCGGAACTTCTTTTCCTTTATAGGAGACGTATTGCAGTCCTTTGAACCTAGCATTCCAAATAATATTCCGTCTGTATTTTTCTTCGTTCACAACTCCACGTCTTCGCTTGGGACTAGGTTCGTCATCTGTACTATCTAACATGGCTTAAGAACTATATAACGTAACAATAAACAACAAAATAACCCCTAATTTTCATCGAAAACTCACGAAAATGAATAACTCAGTATTACCTATCGAACAAAACAGCGAGTTACAAAATTCACCACCAACCGTCACGAGTGAGTACAATTTATCGCAGAAAGAACCAAAATGACGGCGTTTGGGTTTTTTCTGAAATAAACAAATTATTTTTAAGGCTGCCAAAAAACATTGCTAATATGAAACATAGGTTATTTCTGCACTAAAAGATGTATTATAACTTTTAAAATGTATAGTGCCATCAAAAACACATTTTTTGATATTTTGTTGCTTAGGTGGTTTCTGAAATAAACAATTCAATTTTTTTTACATGAATAAGATAAATAAATCACTATGACCACAACAGAACAATGCATTGGAACATCTAACTCAACTTTGATATTTTTGTGACTTAAGCCTGTTTACACGTTACCTCCTCAAATTTTTCCAGAATTTTTTATATTTTTTTTGAGAATCATTTTCCAGAGTGGTAGTCGAAACGTCAAACACTAGTTAGTTAAAAATGTGATTTTTAGTACAATCAATAATTGTGGCATAATGCCATATAAACTAATATTTGTACTTTTTTGATAATTGTAAAAATTTGGTTTATAGGACTTATAATAATATCATGTAATAATATTCATCGTTCATTAAAACTCGATTATTGTATTATTTATAAGAACAACGCTGTTTCTTTTTATTTTTTATTTTTTTTTGTTTTAGGTTAAACTTCCGAAACACTTCTTTCCCGATTCAACCATCATCAAACACCTCCAAATTTCTCAAAGCAACATTCAAGAACTACACGACGACTGCCTCCTACCTCTAAAACCCCATTTAGAGTCGTTCAGTTTGGTTTCAGGGCGTCTTAAGGAAATACCTCAAAAAGCATTTAAGGGATTGAATAAGTTAATTGCTTTAGATCTAGAGGCTAACGCTATTGTAGATTTGCCAAGTTACAGTTTCTACGGATTACATCTGATCAAGTTGAATATGAAAGGAAACCAAATTCAAAAGGTAAGAAAAAACTGTTAAAATAAAATATAAAACACAATTTAAAATTTACAGGTATCTGACAAAGTGAATACGAAATAGTATGTATAAAAAACCATTTTATTCAACGAAGTCTTCTTTAATAAATATATACAGGATGCGCTAAACCTCTTGAGTTTTTTTATTACGGCTTAATTATGTATTGCAACAGTGTATTGTTTGTAACCTAATATTTTTTACCTAGCGAACGGCATGCAGGGCTTATTTGAAGAGCTGAAGTCGTGGATAAGTTGAATAAATACTTAAATAAATCTCATGGACAAATCGGCAAACAAAACCAACAAGAAAAACCTCTAGCTATTTAAAATAAGGACGCCGCTTCGAAGGATCCTAGTCTTGCTGGATAAAGAAAAAAAAGGCTCTTTCTTTCTAAAAAAACAGAAACACAAAGAGGTTAGGAGACTTTTCTAAAATAAATAAACAAAAATGATTTAGAGAAATAAATTAAACATTTATTGTTGTTTAACTACAAACAGTTACAAAACACAGATGTTACAAAAAATACTATATTTATAGTTTAACAGGTTTATACCAAAACAATAAAGAAAAAACACTTACATGTCCTATCTGTTTTACAAACGTTGTTTACAAGTGAGAGATGCTACAAAACTTGTTACTAGGCTTTAACTGTGGCAGAAATAAATTATTACAATTAAAAGAATTATCTTTTTAAGTTAAAACATTCATACTAAAAACAAAACAAACTAGTGACACAAAAATAATAAGGCTAACTGTCATATGTCAACATAAAATCTTACACTCTTTGATGATTTTACTTTACTGATTACTCTTTTTTAAACTGACATATTAACAAAGAGTAAAATTCGACTATTTTCAACAAATTTTGCCAGCTTATCTGATTGACTTAACTGAGACTCGTCTACTTCTCACTGCCTTGATTTCAAACCTAAAATTAGACCTTTTATCGATCTCTATTCGCACCCGTAATTTCCCCTCGCGTACCACTACATACCTCGGAACCAGCTAAAATTTTCTTTAGACACTTCAACTCGCAAAATAACCTTGAAATACTTCAGCTTTTAAAATTTCCTAGCTAACGCATATTACTTATTAATGTAAACATAGGATTGGGGGATATTGATACAATATTGGGTCTGTATTCCAATTCCATAATTCTATTTAACCGTACTGTTAGCCAACTAACCGTACTGTTCCTTTTTTTTCTATTATCAGAGGTGGGTGGAAAATCTTCGTAAGATACCAGGTCTTATATCTGGTATGTGATGAGCTCAACCGCAATCCTCACCGGAGCGAGAACCTACCCACTAAAACCTTCCGTCCTTCCAACCGCACTTGTGATCCGTGAGTGCAGTTCGGGATTCGCCCCGGTGGCGTTATTTCTTCGGTATTACATCCACCTCACGTGCCGTTAAATATCGCTTTACGGCTAAACTTAAACGCCACAAACTTTTTTTTTGTGTATAAACAGTTTTTATTCAGTCTTCTTGGACTGAAGCGTCTATCTAACGAACGCGTGGGTTCTTGCTTACGTGTCTTTATCCTCACACATCCTCTCAATTATATTACTTCAAAATCAAAATCAACACCATCCCTTCTCTCCAATTCTAATTTATCCATAACAAATCTTGCATATTACAACAGTGTATGTAAGACAGTGTCGACCAAACCGCAGAAAGGGTAGTTGGTTTTAGTCGCTTTCTTGAACCTGAAGAGGCGAAAATACCTGTGGCTTATTAGAACCTGTAACAGGAAATAATCTAAACACTAGTGTACACATTCGAGCCACGTCTTTACGTTCGGTATGAGTAATTTGATCCATTGTATCACATTCACAGTCGCCTACCATTCAGTTTGCTACATCCATATAGATATAGCTATTCAGTTCTTCTTCGGTCTATCCTACAACAAAACCTTAATTTCCTTACCTTCTGCAGCCCATTTCAGCAGCTTCCGGGTAAGGTATGTCCTCAGGCTTGTCGCCCAACGCTCTTGTAAGGTATAAGCACTCTTTGGGGCAAACCCTTTGCCCATTAACAATGCTTACTAAATTAAACATTGTGCCAACTCCACCCTCTTTATCGTTAACTACTGGAGTAAGGATGAGGTCTAGATATCTCTCCTGAAAGCGCCCCAGCACCTTCTTATCAGATTGTTTGGCGGACATGTATACAAACGCGTCATCGTTAAAGTCTGCCACTCATAACAGGAACTTTGGTAAGCAAGGTCTCCGGCCAATACCCGCTGAGAAGATCCGTGATTTTCTCATGGGCCACTGATTTGATCATTGTGACATCGGTTTGTGTACCGATAGCCGTCTTCCACACCTTGGCCTACTTATGGGGATCTTTCACCAATGCCGTTTTATACTAGGATAAATACAATACTAGGACGTGCCTCTTTTTAATTTGAACATTAGATTTGGTAACCCTCTGATACCGGACTTTATCTCCAGTTTTTTTTTACGTGGACCTTTTACCAATTATGTGGACCTTTGTTAGGTCCAATACCTCATTTATTTTGGCATATCTTTGTCCGCCTTTTCTAGATCCACACGTGGGTGATTCTCTCAGGGGGCTTCCTTACTCTACACATGAAATTTCCCCTTTTTCGCCCCTCTTCCTCTGAACTTTTTATACTTTTCTTTTTTAGTTGTTTTTTTCTTATTTAGATCCTACAAGTAGGGCAAGTACAGTCCTGCAGGGCAGTACGCCCTTACCCTGCATAGGCTAGTTTACAACAGAGTGTCGCCTGGTACCCTAAGACATACCGTTCTCGACAATTTAGCCGTCGGAACGGCTCTTACACCTTAAGTTCCAAATTTTTATCGCTGGTTTTCTCCGCCGAATTTTTAACCAAGTTTTCTTCTGTGGGAAAGGGGGTCTGGGGTGAGAAGAAAAGGAAAAGGTACAATTGGGTGAGGGTGGAAGACATTGCAATTGGAAGTGATTGCGGCACCTGTTAGCGTCCGGTGGGGAAGTCCGGCGACCACCCGGTGCGACGACGATGGACGCTATTTGGACTGTTCTTGGTTTCATTGGTCATGCTCCCCTTACAATATAAAATACCAAGACCAGTTACTCTGGCCTTCCACCAGCATCGAGGTAAATAATAGTTTCGGGAGAGGGCCAAATTGTTCCTGTCTCTCCTAAACCTGTCTGTACTTTTCTAGGTATATCATATGGTCAAACTACTTTATCTTTCTTTTTTTAAGTGTTTAAGCAACTTCGTCGTTTGTTATTTGCGTGACCATTACTGTTACTGTCTCTGGTTTTCCATCTAATTTAATATTTAATAAACTGATAATATTTAGCTTTCTATGTTTGGCTATTTTATATATCTTTGCTTCTATATTCGTTGATTTAAATATTCATACAATATTGTATTTAATGCCTTTTCTTTTAAGTTTTTCTGGCAAGCCTTTTTCGAATTCCTTTTTCTGCAAAACTCTATATATAAAAATGACAAAGTTTAATAGTTACTAACTAAAAGAAATGATAAAGGCATTTTCTCTTTAAAAAATATTTCTTTTTGGAATAGGCAATTATGTTCAATAATTCGATACAACTAATATTATTGTGAGTTGTATATCCAGTACCCTTTATAACGGTTTAAACAATCAGGAAAAATAATAAACTAATACACCATGTTTTCATATCATTTATATCCAACCAGAACCAGTCCAACAATTTTACTCCATGAATAAATTATAATCACATCATGGTAGGCAGATGATAAGCCAAATGTTAAACCGATAACTTAGTATATCGGGAAGTTCATCTTCTTCGTCTACCTCTTTTTATATAGACATGACTCTGTCCATTTTTCAATATGCCTCCAATACGTTGTCGTTCCATCGTTTTCGTGGTCTTCCTACCGATCGTCTTTGTATTGGGGAACCATCTCTTATACGTGATATATCTGTACTTCTAGTTCTGTCAAATAACGTCTTACCATCAATTTTTGTGTTTTTATCTCTGCTGTTTCTAACATCCTTTTGTTCTCTCTGTGTCAGGTGTTGTTTTTTCCGCACATATCACTATTGGTCTGATGACGGTTTTGTAAATTCTGCCTTCGGTTTCTTTCCTGATATTTTTGTCTCTTCATATTGTTTAATTCAGGCAGCCTGCGGCTCTGTTTGCTTTATTTACTTGATCTTCCACTTCAGTTTCGATCTTTCCGTAGCTAGATAATGTGATGCCTAGATATTTAAACTCCATCACTTGTTTTATTATTTGACCTTCCAGCTCCAATTTACATCTTAGAAAATTTGCTGTTGTAACCATGCGATTTGTTTTTTTTTTGAGAAACTAATATGTTAAATTTAATGGCAAGTTTCTCTTACCTAATATACGTACTTCCAAATACGATACTGAGCTATAATTCGAAGCGTCCAATTAATTATTCCTATTTACATATATGTGACTGCCTGGGGGTAATGAGCGCGAGGACTGGGTGGATTGAGTAGTTCAGAAGTAGCGTTAATGCCAACAACCGGTCTTAAGTCCAGATAAAAGAGGAGGGTTGATAGGCCAGGTTAACATCCTACCCATTGTAAAAGAAGATAAGGCTCAAAGAACCGATATTAAGCCTCGGAACCAGACGAAACCTACGATGACGAATGACGCAAAGGAAAGGAAAACGAGAAAAAAAAAGCCCAAAATCAGATTATCAACGTGAAACATTAGTTCTTTCAACAAAAAAGACCAATAGATAATAGAAAAACTGATAAATAAAAACCTAGACATTTGTGCAATCCAAGAAATCAAAAAGAAAAGTAAAGGCCAAAGAGACTATAACCAATATTTTCTAGAATACAGTGGAGTGAAGAAAGAAGAACGAGCACGAGAAGGCTTAGGTATAGTTGTCCATAAAAAAATTTAAGACAACATAATATGACAATATATGAACTTCACAATGGACCACCAAAACTAAAATGTCATATCTATGTACAGCCCCAAGAACTGCAAATCTAAGGAGGAACGAGAGGCATTCTACGAATAATTGCAAACTATCCTGAACGAATTACCTCATGAAGAACCCTTAGTTGTTATGGGTGACGA